AAGTTACAATTTATTTTAAAGGTACCTGTTCAAAGAGTCACTAAGTATCCTCTCTTGCTGGCTCGATTGCTGAAAGCTACTCCTTCCGTGCGGCCAGACATTCAAGAAGCAAAGGAAAGACTAAAACAAGCGCAAGCTAACATAGAATTGCATTTGGAACACATGAATGCTGTAAGTATGCTGTTAATTCTATTGTTGTTAATTTCGATGTTCCACTTAGAGAATTTAATGATGCGTCGATAGGAAGCGAAAGATGTAACTTCGACGAAACTTTGGAGGAGGATCTCGATCATCCAGAATGGCAGACGACCGATCGGTGAACAAGACATAGTGAATATCAAATTAAAGAAGGTAATACGGATGTTTATTAATTTTTATAAATAATCAATTCAGTTAATATTCAATATTTATTCAATAATGGAATGGTAGATGGCTGTAGAAGTATTGGAATGGGCTCACGAAGATGCGAAGTTCGTATTGGAAGGACGTCTTTTAGTTGCCCAGCCAACGGATAATAACTGGCGACGCGGGCGAACCGTCAAGCTCGCACCTGTGACTGCTATGCTCGTCACCAATAGCAAGGTAAATAATTTGTTTCATTTTTCTATTCTTGCTCTCTAAATTATAAAAAATGAAAATGACAATGAGTAATACTTGTGATGCGAACAAAAAGTGGGACATTTTTCTTATACTTTGTTCTTTTAATTCTTCTACCTTTGTCCTTCTTTCTTGCAGCCGAACGCGGAGGATCTGGAGTTTAACGACGATTCTCTTTTTTCGAGACACGTCGGTATAAAAGAGGCCACGTTATTGTTGGTGAAGGAGAAGCTTGGACGTTATTCCTTGTTGCGTGTAAGTTGCCTCTAATTCAAGTCTCATTTCGAATCGAGTTTATCATAAGACGAGATTCTCTGTTCTTTAGGAACCACTGTATCTCGATAAGTGTATCGTCTGTTGCGAAACGGACCTCGAAGACTACTTCGAGATTCAAGAACTGTCGTCAAAAGAAACTTTCATATTTAAGGTATGACAAATATTTGGCCAAATCATGTTAAATTAGTTTTATTAACAAGTCGATGAAGTATAAAAAATAATTAATATATAGGTTGTCCCCAGTAGAAATAAGAAACAATAAACGTAGGTCTGGAAACGCTTTATAAAACAATAAAAATATGAAATCTAAAACCAATAGCATTGAGCCATAACATTTTTTCTTAGTTCTATCCATAGAACATATTGCAGCAGTTTGATCGTTTAATCCGGGGATACTCTGTATAAAAAATAATTTAAATATAAAAATAATGAAATGTGAAAAATGTTTGATATTATTTTATATAGGCCGAGGATGGAGCTAGAACGAAAAGATGGTGTAGGACGTTGCAAGCTCATGCACAGTCCTTGGGCGCGTGGCGTAAACGTCGCGGAGCGTTGCCAAACATCATGATATGCGGCGTCGCCAGAAATTGATGAATAACACGTGAAAAGTATTCACAACCGTTATTTAAAAGGTGATCATGATTCCTAAACGTTGAACTTGCGTATGATCTCCGGATCGGGTAAATCGATAAAAGGATTTCCTCTGCTCATTGATAGCACAAGTCAATGAGCGACACGAAGATCTGTACAGTTCTACCATTTTGCATTCGTTATATACATTAGTGTCTATCTAATAGAGGGTTTCAGGTTACAATGATTAAATCCTTTAATTCAAGATTAACAGACTGACAGCCCATGCATATTTTTGATCGATTCGGTAATTTCACCGAATTCACACATTTTTCTATTATGGTCAATTACACATCTTTCTACGCATATGAAAGCTGCCTCCAAGGTCTGAACGAGCTTTAACTATCAAAATTTCATTATTCAATTCTTAATCAATTAAAAAGTCTGCAATCCTGATTGAATCGTTTTTCTCCTAGCTAAAGCGAACTACTCGTTCCTCTGTAACAGTTAAAAATTGCCTCTATTAAAAAGACACTAATTTATCCCGCAGGTTACAGTAAGTTGCAGAAACTAGAGTTTCCTACGTCGCTGTAATCAACGCGTTATCTAAACATTAAAATATCGGTCGCAAACTCTCGTCACAAGTTCTCGTTCGGTTACAAGTTCTCTTTTCTCCACTTCTTCCACTGAACACCGAACGACTGCATCGAAATTGAAAGAACAGAGGGTAGCTGCGATACTGGCCGGTGTATCGGTTACGCGTTCATCGTATAAATTCATAATAATAAGCGAGCTTTCGTTTAACTTTCACCGCGAGGATGATCAGTGTACATAATATTAAAGATGATAAGGTAATTGGGTTGTTATATTTTATACCTACGAATTATGAAAACTAGGAAACTGCCAAACGTTTCATAAAACCGGGCTTGTTAACGATTATCATTAGACTGCCGATCTTTATGCGAAACGAAACATTTATGGTATTAATTTCAAAAATGTATTTTAGATAAATATTTGATTGACTGCTTGAGCATTGAAATGTTCATTCAGCTTTCGATATTCTTCTCTTATACCTTTTATCATTTCTACACATTGAATTTAATTCTAATTGCATAAAATCTGCAGTCTAATTATTATTAATATACTACTATGTATTCGTTAGTTTTATATAATTAACAGTATTTTATGGCGTTCTAACAAGGAAAACTAAATGTTGTACATTGTACTATAATTTCGTTTAAGATCTAAGCCATATGATTTTTGTATATAGATGTATATTTATAATGAAATTGGCTGTAGACACGTAATTGTCACCTGAAATCTGTCATTCAATAAAATTAAATAATCACAACTGTACACGTCTTGCAATATTATATTTTTTTCCTGCAACTTTGCATTATTGCTTCAAGTTGCAATAACTTTGTTTCTGATCGAGGGGATTGAATGGAATTTACAAGAGGAAATCTCCAGCCCTGGGCCCAAGAACGGAGTCAATGATTATTTGATACAGAAATTCACGATCCACACAGGTGTTCAACACATGTTACACGAGATTCATATGTTTACTGTATTAAAAACTACAATTAAAGTAGAAAAAAATAAGCCGAAATATATAAACGAGTTAAGAATATTCGGCGTCGCTATACTATGTATGTACGTAAGTATCCATGCACTATGCGACATGCAAACATATACATGTCTATGTATACATATATTAAAAGCGTGCGTACTTGATAACGCAGTTGTCCTAAAAATTATATACATTCTCTTTAATACTCGAGGTCACCGAGACTATTCATTACGTATATATTAATTCATAAATATTAGGTAACCATCTTCATTTGCAATGTAATCGATGGTTCTGATTCAATATACGGTTTGAATAGTCCAAAATATATCGTTGCTTCGTTTGCCTTTTCAAGATAAAACGTAACATGATAAACTCATAAATAGATTGCGGATTTTTATGTAACAGAAAACATTTCTAATATCAGTTTAAAAAATGAAATGTGGATTGAAATTTCTTTTAATATTCCAAAATAGTGATATTATATTTTTGATATTCTGCGCAATTTTTGTAGTCATGATTTCTGGTTTAAAAGATTTTTTTCCTTTGTTTTTTAATGTTTCTGTAAATCCATGAAATCCACAGACTATTGATAAATTTCGTAGAATGCACGGAGTAATCAGAAACATTATTCCAAACAGGATTATCTACGCTTCTCACAGCCTATCTTACTGTAAACTGTTCTTTTTTTAACTTTCTCAACCTGTACTACTAAACGAACGCGTGTGTATCACGTATCTTTACATGGAGCAAGTCGTAATAAAAACTTCCACACTTACAGATAAAAGTTATAATTAGGCTACGGATTTCATGCGTCTATAAAAAAATGGTATGTATGGAAAACAAAAAATTGATTTCATGTCCGAGCAAACAGAAAATGTAAAAACTGAATTATTAAAACTAATTCGGATTCGGGAGTACATATTGAACTTGATTCCATCTCTAGTTGTAATACTAATTTCCATAACTGAGGAAAGACCACTTTTCGTTCGTTTTGCATATCTTCGCCCTGACGCATACGCGCAGCGTTCTAAGAGGTGTTTGAAGAGTAACTTGATGAGAATGTATTCTGCCTATTCATCCGCACTATTATTTTACCGCGCATGTTGAACTCGAGGTGGAGTCAGGGGTCTCAGAATTTATCCCGCACGGCTCGCTTCCCCTCTTTTTCGCCCGTATTTCGATTCCCACTACTATTCTCCTCATGCGCGTTCGCGAAGCGAACCTATCAAGTACCAGTCCCCACCATGGTCGCGTCGTCCCCACTTTCCGGCCGAGGGATAAATTCTGAGACCCCTGAGTGGAGTGGAGCTCGCTGCGTCTTTCCCCCACCGTCTTTCAAGATGCGCAAAACAATTACGGACTGTGGTGACGGTAACCGTAGGATGCGACACCGGTAAGCTTTTCAATTTTTCATCTCAAAGAAGAGTTCTCTTACGGTCGGCATGCGTTGCATAAAATACGCTGTACACGATGCAAGTTAGCAATATAAACCGTTCCCTTGATTCTCGATTACATATTTCTGTAAATACTGCGATGCTTTTTCACTTAAACCGAGATTAGGTAATTCCTTCTCAAATTGTTCGATCGTTCCTGCGCCGGCTATGTAACCGTTCAGTTTCGTAGCCAACGGTGAATTTCGTATGATTTCGTCACTGGTAAGTCCGGTAGTTTCAAGTAGCCACGGATGATCCCGAAGCCGATATTTTTGATGATAGCTGAAAAAATGCATACATATTGAAAGTGTTGGGAATTTTTGATCTCTTGACGACCCTTCTTTCTGCCAACTATTCCTCCCCATTCCTAATTCTTGTCCATTTCCATTCTACTCCGCCCATTTACTTCATCCAATGTCTCAATCACTCTGTCATCTGCTTCTGACGTTTCTCTCTTCTCAATCTATAGACACCCTTTAACACACTTGTTTCTGTGTGATATACTTACTCTTCAGCCGTGTAAAATTTTTCGAACTTCCGGATCTCTGTAAGTACCATATCTGTCCGCTTCCGCTGTTGCTGTTCACGCGACTTCTCTCCCAGTAACTTCTGCTCTTCGTCGTGATACAAAATCAACGACATATACTGTAATTAATAATGAACGTGTGTACAGGGTGTCCCCTGATTAAGCGATCAAACTTCACCAGTATGTTCTATGAGTAGAAATAAGAAAAAAATTGTATAATAAACATTGGCCTGCAAATACTTTATAAAAACTTTGTAATAAAAAATGAAGCTAGAGTCAATAGCGAGTTGATTGTTGATACATCGGAGTGTAACAATAAAGTGACGGTATTTATGAAACCTGCTTATTCTGTTTGATGTATAATTTCGAGAAAAAAAAATTATGATATATTTACCTGCCTCTTAATCTTTGTCGTAAGGCCGTACTCATGATTTTTCCAAAACACATCAAGCAATTGTGAATACGATACCATGTCTGGGTTGTATTCAACATCAACGACTTCTGTGTGGTCACCACTAGAATAAATTTCGAATTAGGCACCAGTTCAAGAATACAATATTTAACACGTTACTCTACAGCAGTGGTTCTTAACTGTAGGATACTAGAAGTACGAGTTGCAACATATGAGCATGGAACTCACGATTAGAAAAAGTATTCCACGGAATTTTGAAAATTTATGACAAATCAAAACGACTATCATCATATTTGGGACCAGTAGTTTTTATTTTTGGTACAGAAAACAGAAGAATTTTTGTTATCCATGTGCAATGCGTCAAGATGAAAAAAAAAACTGTCTTTAATTTTATCGTTTTTACGTGTACATATGTTAACTCTTATTGATTATTATTATCTTATCGATTGCTATAGTGTCGATTATTATTATTACATGTTTCTATAAGTTGGCGATTCCTTCTGGCCGCCGGCATATCCGACGCAGGTTTTGATCACGCCGGGTAGCACGCCGAAAAGACAGTCGCCTGCCCAGAAGCATCCCATTCCGAATGTTGCGCGTTTTGCTTGGATTTCTTCCAACTGTCCGGGCATCTTGCAAGACTGTTGTCATTGACACGTGTCCGAGTCACGGAAAGTGAGCGTGAAAGAAACAAATAGCTCGATAGAATTTACTTGAATTGTTTCGTTAACAATTGAATTCTAATCGATAATAGGAGTATTTTTTAATTAAGAATAAAAATTTAATCGTTAATTCGAACTTCTACTGATTAAGTCCATTAGCTGACTTAAGAATTAAAATTATTTAAATGAATAGTGATATTTTATTATTTAATTTTACTAATACTTTCACTTTANAGATATTCATTTTTAATCATTTATTTATTACTTTTATAAAATTAAAAATCTGTAAATTCTCATGTTTTCTTTCATTTGTTTATAATAAAAATCGAACACTATGCATGTCTAATAATTATGTATTATTTTATTAAATTCACGAACAAATCTATAAATTGTGGTTTCTGTATATTCACTTGTCTTCTTATAAGCGGAATCGAAGGCATGGATTCGCTAGTTAAATCGTTATCGAACGATCTCACCACTTAAAATGCTGTTCGACTACTTTGATGTACTTGAACAAGGAATGTCTACCTAATTTGACCATGCTAACACGGTAACGGTGTAGATAAGTCAGAATCAGATTTATCTATTGTCACGTCATCACGAACAAAATTCAACGTTACAAAAAGATTTATAAATATTTTATTGTGTTCTTTAAAATGCGAGATTATTTAGATATTAGACTTATTATTATTAATATTATTATTATTACACTCTGGATTTTTTGGCAAAATCATATATTTTGAAACATATTTTTAAGAATGTAATCCATTTATACTGACTTCCTATTTTTATAATTTCATTATGTAAGATTTACATTGTCTTATCTTTCTTTTAGATTGTATACAGTTATAAACAATGCATTTACTTACAAACAATTTTTGAATAAATCCATAAAAATCTGCAGTTTAGTTATAACAGAAACTGTAGATTATTTATTAGATTTAAAATTCTCATAATTCAATTTCAATACTTGTAAGTAATAGATGTAATAGCAAAATGTAATTAAGTATACTTGCCTTAAAAATAGCAGTGCAAAAATTGCTGACTTAGTTACTATTAATTTATTAATATACACAATTACTTTTACCTTACTTATTCACTTTTAATTTATTTAAATATTAAACTGCTTATTTTCTTTCATGAAGAATAATTGTATATTATATTGTAGAATCGATTGGCATTAAGTAATACTGTTCTAATTGACGTTAACAACGTCATACCAGTTTATTCGACAAAATGAATAGAAAATAAGAAGCACTGATTTTAAATTGGAAGAACGATTTACCTTACGAACGAAGAGAAATGAAGACCGACAAGGAAGATAAGAAAATAAAACGGAACGAAACGATGAGTGAGCAAAGAGTGCTTCCAGCAAGGAATGTAAGGAAACTACCGCGTGCTCGAAGCAGCTCTACTTTTTATCTACTCCGTCCGGCCGTCCCTCTTCTTTCTCTTCGCATCGCCCTACTCCGCAAGCATCGTGAAATTACCACCACTCAGATTCATTCGAAATAGTTTCTATCCTTTCATTCCAATTCTGTGATTTTCTTTATTGTTTCAGTATTTCAATTATTACCTTTATCATTATTTGGTACGTGACGTCATAATTGAGGTCAGAGTTATTCTTATAGACATACGTATTGTATTTTATTTAAAAGAAGTCAAAGTTAATTTTAATTAGTTTTTATTTTGTACATGTACAAATTCTTCTAGCATTCTCTTAGAGTTTAGAGAAAGACTCCTTAGGGTTAAAAATTGCCTTGGGAACTGTGGCTCAAAAAAGTATCGGCACATGTTTTAAAACGAAATAACTTTTTTAATATTGAATCAAACGTAATTGTTTGTGGGATCCTAGGAATCTTACTTTACTATTTAATTAATAACTTATTTAATAATAAAAATAAAAAAATATGTTTAAAATTTTCATTGGTTGGAATCGCGAAGAAAAAAGTGGAAGTCGCGTTTTTTAATATTCTTAGTGAGACTTTAAGACATGGCTGTTTAAATACGAACTTCAATTCTTGTCTGCAAAGACTTTTTGGCAAAATGGATTTCACGAGAAGGAAAACCACTATAAATATAATATTATTACAATACATAATCATACATATATTATAACATTATAAAATTATAATATTATTTAATTAACTACTTATAGTATTGTAAGGTATTATAGTATTAAAACAAAAGACGTTAAATATAACAATATAATATTTGATGTTGTAATAATATTAGTAATATTACAAGAATATAGTATAATAATATTATAATATTATAATAATATAGCAAAAATATAGTACCAGTGCTATGACATAATATCATGTAATTAAATATTACACATAATAATATTTAAGCTGTTTTAATATTATAACCTCTTTTGCAAAGTACGTTGGTCCAACTAATCGACGTTAAATCTCGTCCTATATAGAGTACGATGATTGTCAATTTAACTGAACTTCGATAAATCTGCTGAGTAAGTTGCATCAGAAAACTGAAGCGAGGCTAGTACATGCGTCTGTTAAATTAGATAACAATTGGTGAACGGGCTGATGTAATCATTCCACGACATCATCGATAGTCTACAGAGGTTTTATTATCGTCTGTCTCTTATTTCCTACCCGTTTAATAATAATTTCAGTTATCTGTGATACGAACTTGTATTACTTATGTCTGTGAAATGTTTAACAGTGATATGCATTTGTGCAGTTCTATAGTCTTATTTATTTCTTGCCCGTTTGATAATAATTTAGTGTTGTCTGTATAATACAAGCTTATATCACTTAATTTGTTCATTTATTCATTTTGGTATGATAATATTTAATAATACATTTTTGTTAAATGTTTAACAGTGAATAAGAAAAATGAACAGTGAATTGGGTTAGTTCTATGTTAACCAAGCTTCTGATTTTGTATATGTATAATTGAAAAATTAATAAAATAAGTGAAAATTAGTGCATTGGTGGAAACCATGGGCAGAAACGTACCAAACAGTGATAGGAGATAGTTGTCAATCCTCTGCGGAGAGCTAGATTTAATGCTAGCATTTTCGATAGGCCCGCGCTACTATCGACAATCGGCTGCGAGGAAGCCATTCAATTCAACAGTAGGAAACGATAATCAAATTGGACTCATTTTCTGGCAATTGTCTCGGAACTTGTACATATACGTTCTTGTGTGTTTGTTTTTTTTAAACACATGTTTATTAATTTGGTTTATACCAAAGGCGAAGAATCAAGCTTTCATCTCCCGTACACATTATCGGAAAAAATTATTTAAGTCCGTGCACGTTGTCAAATTTCCTTAACTTAAAAATTGTAAGCATGCCCCAGATTTAAGCATTGTCTGTCGTAGAATTATACTATATCCCAGAAAAAGTGTTAGAGTCGAAAATGGGTGATTCTGGCAGTGTTTCTTTGGCAAAATGCATGCTTTTTGAATTGTTAACGAAAAACTTTATTCACTGACCAACTGGAGAACGTATACAGCCGGCGCTCAACTATAGTGTTGGCTAGTGTTGGCTCGGATCGTGACACTCGGCCGTCGCCGCGAACAATTGGTCACTGTTTTTCGTCAACAATTCAAAAACCATGCTTCACTTTGCATTCAGCCAAAGGGAAGTTGTCCTTCAGAAACACCTCCAGAATCAAAATCACACTTTTCGTGGGACAACTTATATGAAAGTCTCTGGACAGGATATTGTAATGATTTGAAGCTTGAATATAACTGAAAAATCGTTGCTTGATAATTTGCTGCTGTGCAACCGAAGATTGGGGAATCTGAGATAAATTTCAACAATTTTCATAATGTTTTTTTAGAATAGTGTATTTTTAAGAAAAACAGAATATATCTATACGATTTAAAAATAACGGCATAGATAAAAATGTACAAATGAAGTTATTCATAGAAACACATATCATATATGCACATCTAAATGAATATAAAAAATATGATTTATAACTGACATCTTTATAAAAAAAGACGAGGAAGTATTCTGTACGATATAATACATAGTAGCCGCAATGACGCGCGTTTAATATACAATTCTATAATTACCATTATTGGAAATATACATTATATCTTCATACTGTAATAAATAAAGTTATGTACATATGTGAAACTTAAGTAGCTAATTAAGTAAAAATTGTTTCCTACATCGCAGATACTTAAATACTCGCTTAAGTACAGTGCACTTGTTTCAATTTCATAATCTCATATATCAATCGCGCCGTCAGACGCTTCAATCGAACGCCTCATCTGACAATGAGCAACATTCGTACGATTTTACTTGAACGTACGTTAACAACACGTAGAATTAAGAAATAGTTGTAATATCGTGAAATATCATCATTAAATATTACAAAATGTTTAAAAGCCACGAAACGTGCAGCTTATATTCCGTAGAATAATCTCTCATTTGGTGTTTGTATATATTAACCATTTATATGTAAAACTGTAATACTATATGTACAAAATGGGTGAAAAATCGCCTCCTGTTCTTACAACGTTTTATACTTTTCTGATTTCTACTCAATTCGTCTGCCTCTCGAGGCCCTTGAAAATTGATAGTTTACTCTTATTAACTGGTTTGATGTTCCAGAAATGGAACATTGGGCCTCGGTTGAAGCAAACCTCATTATTAGACTGCAGACTTTATGCATTTATAAGAAAATTCAATGTACAAGGAATAGAAATACTGTTTGTGATGCGTTAAGAAAAAAGAAATCAAACTCATCCCACATATAACTTGTAACTTGAGAGTCAGGAGTTCTCTAACATTTGTGACGTTTTCAATACATAACTACTACATAACATAAGTTAGTAGCAAACTTTAATAAATTCCAGAGATATATTGAACCCCAATAAGGACATTTTGACTAATTCTAAGTCATGACTCCGTTGTGACATGCATGTTACAGAGCATAATCGATCTTACATCAATATTATTAATACGTTTTTATACTGTATGAGAATACTATAAATAGTTTATTTCGCATAAAAAATCGGCAGTCTACCCCTCATTCATATTCCTCTCACTGAAGACATAATCTCTAACAGAAAACGTCTGTTTAAAACAATTTTAAACATAATTTGAACTAAAGGAACTTGCAATTCACCCCCTTAAGTACACAATGACAAGAGTACCTACTGAAACAATAGAAATCGTGAACCCTAACAGAGAGAGTATGAACGGAAATGTAATTTACATAACAGTACAGCAACTCTTCTCCGAATGATTATCCCCAACAATATCGCTGGTGTTTCCAGTGAACCGTTGAAAATCTCCAGCGGCGTTTAAACTGGAATTAGAGATCGGCGACACGGGGATACCGTTTCCATTGGCGTCGATCGATCCAGTGGAAATATGCCGATTCTGGGCCCTCTGTTTCTTCAGGTCCGACAACGATTTGACAAAAACTACCGAGACATGTATGTTGATCTTCCCGTTGGCGTCGCCGCCATCCGTCGAGTAGATCGGCTGCTGATTGCCGATCGGCGATTCGGATCCTGTTACTATCGAGGCAAACATGTAAAACTCGAGTCACCCACCAACGGGACACACGCTATACTCGCTCCCCACTCTCACTTCATTCCGTACCCACCACCACTATTTATATTATTTCTTATACATCGAAACGGCGCTTCGAGCGAAACGTGACTATTTAGTAGAAAACTAACGACCATGCGCTAAGCGGCACATGCTTCAGCAATAAGCGTTAAAAACATTGCACAACGCCAGAGACATGTTTGCTGTGTATGTACATACAGTCTACGGTTGTTTCAATAGAAATACCTTCGGTCTCCTACCTTTATCAAACGCCGCAATTATTATTAGGTTTTCAGTCTTATTTCAGGGAAGTTAAGAACATTTCCCTTCGCCTTCATAAAAATAGTAGATAATTTAATTCAAACTGAATTTTATATCATAAATTGAACTGTGTAGTTTAACAATTTTTATATGATATACATAATTTGCATTGTCTCGATAAAATAGTAGATAATAATTGAATCCCTTATTCTTTAATTCTCAATTTTTGTCGTACATAATTTGCGCTGTCCCAATTTCATTCTTTAATTCAAAGTAAATTTTAAATCATAAATTAAATTGAACGTTTTAACAACTTTTCTATGCTATACATAATTTACACACGGAAATATATTATACATGGAAATCAACAGTTGAATTTTCTAAAGAATAGCTTCCTTTACATTTTTATTTGAAATCATTTTTATTTGAAATTAAATTGTTTCTATTTGAAACAGGATTTATTGACATACAGTAAACAGTGTAAATATTTCAACATTAAACTGATTTTAAAACGTTACAAGTATACTTTATATGTGTAGAATTGTATAACATTATTTTATATCAAGATGTAGTCTTACAGTAGTTACAAATGATAATGTACAAACTTTAAGTCCTTATAGTACATAATACAAAAGTATAAATGAAGATTCAGAAATAAGTATAATAATAAATGATCTATAAATGTTTATTGGTATGATCAATGTTTGATCGGTTTATTGATTTGATCTGGTAGACGAAATCTATCTTTGACGTGGTAGGCAGAATCTACGAAGTAACAATTGAGCCGGACGAATCTACGAGGTTGTGACACAACTGACCTCGTAACGAATTTATCGTTTCGCGATAAAACTGAAAGAGGTAGGGAGACACTCCGCGCGTGTACGCAATTAATAAATACAGTAAAATATAAAAATGTTCGATCACTGATCATACACAGTCGTCAAGTTTGTTATCTTAAAAATTAATTTTTCAAAACTGTCTTGCAACAAATTAGATGTAAATTGCATTAAATTGCATATAAGGAATTTTTAGTTTATTATCGAATAAGGAAAAAGCAAATAAGATTGTCTATTTATTTACCATTCATAGTAAACTACTTAATCTTTGTTCACATAACTATTTTTACTCACTGACTATATTTCTTTAACGTAGTCATTAAACCAGTGAATAAAAGTTATGAACAGAAATCGAGAAATTTGCTATAATATTAAATCACATAATATAATATTAAATCATATAAAACTGATGAAACTTGCTATAATGTTAAATCACATAATATTAATTATTGATACAAACAGCAAAACGTTGTTACAAACCTATTAAAAAAACAAATCGATATGTTTAAAATTTCATCAAGTCTTTGATATGCAGCGAGTATGTGTGTGCAAAGTCATCATTGAAAATTGATTACTTATGCACCATCATTTACATTTGAGTTTAGTTAATTTGTCTGATGAAATATATTATTGATATTGTCGTAAGTGAATGAAGCTACACGAATTGTCATATTCTATTTGATAAAGTGACTTTAGGAAGAGTTACATGTCCAAAAATGTAGATAGTTATTTATATACAGAGAGTTTCAAATTTCTTGTAGCATAAATGTGCGTTTTATGCTTAGAGCGTGTACAACTGGAGGCAGCTTTCATACGTGTCGAAAGGGTAGTCAAGTCGTAGGAGCAGCACAAGAGAAAAAGAGTCTTATTCATCATTTTGCATCTGAGGCCATTATTGGGCCCATTTACGACTCTGCCTCATTCTCAACTAGGATTCATTCATCTTTTACTTCAGTCTATTGTTAACCCATGGGCATTTTTATGGGCAATTGTTATAATTATTATTATGTTTCATTGCTAATTGTTTTCTAATAAGGACTTCACTTGATGATTAAGGGGACTGTAGCCAATACTGTGGTTTGATTAGATTCGAAATTCCAAAAGAGATATAGCCTAAATTCTTTCACCTCTGGGTACACCATTAATATTTAAGAAACTGCCGTCCAGCACAATAAACACTCTCATGTTTTACCCTAGAAGATTCTGAATCATCAAAAGTCTAAAAAAACCTCGCTCATCCAACTTTGAAACTTATTTACAACGCCTCCTCGCATATAACAATTAATAAGCCCAGCCAAATATAATACTAACATACGATTTGCAAACAAAAACTTAAATCGAAGCGAATACTATTTAGCCCTCTTGCCACAAAAAGTTCGTTCCTAATAATAAAAGTTACTTTCCTCCTTTTCAATGCTAGAAATAGTGTGTTCGGAGAGAAAAATCAGATCATGTCACATACAAAAGTAATTCTGTTATTAGAGAAAACGGCGGAAACGTACAATAAATGTGAACGTGAAAAAATGGTATACAACGTTGAGCTGAAAACTTTATAGAAACAAGAAACTGATATAAAAGACTGACCTCGGAATTATTCAGGAGCACAACGCAGTAGTAACAGAGAAAAAGAACAGGGGACTGATGAATATACGTGTGACTTAATTTCTCATTTATTAAGAATTTCGACTAGTTTTTTAACTGATCTTATTAACAGGAAGTTAAACAGTTATTTGTTTATAGACGTATTTCCTCCTAGCCGTAATAAGCGCATAGTGAATATAAAAATGATTATTATGCAACGTTATAGATCCGAGTTATGCGACGAAACAACTTTAAGCAACGCCGCCTATAAGTATAAAAGATTGAATATACTATATAATAAAAGTCTGAATCTTCTTTCGTTTTTATGTTGGTCAAAGTCGAAAATTTGAATTCGAACAAATAAAATGTAGAAAACACAAATCATTTTTATTTCGGGACCACTGCCTGGCAATGGCGGCACAATGGTTGAGAATCACTGGTATAACGTCATAATCTAACCGAACCTAACTGACCCATAAGGTAAGCAGGGATCTCATAATTTTTCCCTCGGCTGGAAAGTGGGGACGACTTGACCATGGTGGGGACTGGTACTTGATGGAGGTATGCTAGGCATGGTCAGCGAAGGCGCATGAGGAGAATAGTAGTGGGGATCGAAATATGGGCGAAAAAGAGGGGAAGCGAGCTCTGCGGGAAAAATTATGAGATCCCTGATGGTACGACGTCATTACACAGTATAACGTCACTGTTAAGCTTCAATTCAAATGCATTTAGCATATGCAATTATTTTGAGTTTTATTAATATTTACACATGTAATAATATAAATAATTATATCATTTTTTATGGTAACTAATCACTTCAAAATAGTTAATAAGTATTGTGCTCCCAGATGTAATGGCAATTATGGAGATAGTTCAAAAGTTATTTTTAAATTTCTATAAAATAGAGAGTTAAAGAAGAAATGGTTAAATGAATTTAATAACTCATTATTTCTATATTTTATAATATAAGATCTTTGTTAATTTTTCTCCTTATTTTATGCCACTGTTTATAAATTTTTTGTAACGTGATACATTCATATACACAGAGCTATCAGGTTGTATTATAATATAGGTGACGTTGCTTTAAATGGACATTACACGTGACATATTATTTCGTACGAGAAACTACCAATTACCAGAGGATTCTACTTAACCACAACCAATACGAAATCAACATGTTTTGTAATATACCTGAGTCTTTGTCGGCGTCTTTGTGGAATGAAGAATCGTCCTTACCCTCAGGAGATTTACGCATTGCCACAGGTGGGCCAGTAGAGCCTGTTTCACTATTCGCACTTTCCCGCGCATTGGCTCCATTTTCAGATTGCGGGGCATTCGTAGCCGTAGGAGCGTACGTCTGAAATGCATAATTTCACTGTATAGCAAAGTGTAGTCGTCTGTGCCTGCGTCTACCTACCATTGTGGAAGCAGTTAATCAATTCATTATTAAGAAACTAATAAACAGGTAATGGACAAAATCTAACACTGCAGGCTTAAGTAAGAGGTTGCTTCTAGTTTCATTTTAAAGAACCTAATGTGACTACTTTAATACTTATCAGTCAATCTTTGCTGTTTTATTGATAATTACACGAAAACAGTGCAAAATATCGGTTTACGGGTTGTTACTTTTTTTAGTTACTAGGACTTTTGTATCTGCTATGGCGATGCAGGTGATATACGCCATTTATTATACCTCAATGATGCAATGAAACGCGTATATCTGTAACGAAATATGTAATAATAATCATTTTACCTGCTGCGCTTGTAATCTGAGCCGAGCTTCTTCTTGAGCATCTTTCTTCGTAGTCAACACTTTATCCCTTATAGAAGTCCTCCTCACGCTTTGAGTACGCGTGTTTATGCTCTGAGATCTACGCACCCGCCTTCCCTGTGCTTCCCGTAATCTCTTGCTCTCTTGTTCCGTCTTGAGTTCCACTATCCTCTCTCGAATCTCCGGATCCTCGCAAATATCTATAAAATTAAATATCACACTCAATCACTAATGAACAATCTCGCAAATTTTTATCGAATCAAATATCGAACTCCATTATTAACGAATAGTAATAAAAAGTATTTACGAATAATAATATGAAATAATAAGAACTGTGAGCCTCTTCAGGGACGAATTTTCTAAAATAAAAATAAATTCAAATTTAATTACTTTTTTATTATCACTAATCTGTTTTTTCACATGGAATAATTTTAATTTAAAAAAGAACTAAACATACACTTTTGTGCCAGTGTCCCTGAAGAGCTCAATAAAAACAAGTTTATTCCGTTATAATTAAATGTAAAAATCAATTACTACTATTCAAAATTCTGAATAAAAACCAGCATTTTAAAAACATTTTTACCAGCCGGAGTTTCGTCGTGTTTGTTCCTCGCGTTTAAGTCGGCCCCATTTTGTACTAGTAGCTCAAGAACTTCTAACTAAAAGAATAAAAATAAAATGGGTTCTTATTCTTCCGTGATCCTCGTAACGTACTTATGCAGTTTAATCGTGTAATCCGGGCCTATACATATGTATACATATATTATAATTTGATCCTTACGTGTCCCCAGCATGCAGCCGCGTGAACTGGTTGCCATTTGTCGTTGTCTTCAACATCAGTCGACACGTGTTGATCTAAAAGGAACTCGACTACCCTTAGATAACCATTGGCAGCTGCGATATGCAGCTGAAATTCAAGAAAAATTTTGTATAATTAATATATTTTTTTAGAAGNATATATATTATTTCGTTATCATCATTAAAGCTAACAAATAGAAATAATCGACTACATTCATCAACTACTGTATAATCATAAATAAACGTTTGATAAAATCACATCGTATCACCTTCGTCGATATCATTTCTCGCGGCGGCTTCCAGGAGCATTACGCTATCGTTAAAATATATATGACGTTTGTTGCTGGTGTGTCTAGTTTGATGCCGCATCCACTCTTTTTCACGTTGACGCCATACTTTTAATTGTTGGAGCCTCCTGTGTCGTGCCAAATGCAACCTTTCTTGAGTCGTTAGTCTTTCTACGTGCACCATTTCTGCTACTAAGTCGGAATGTTCCATGGTCAGTTGTTTATAATCCTTGCAGCTGTATTTACCTGGTCGAAGGAAACACATTTTATTAATTTTTTTTTACTTAAATATAATTATTCGTAATTAATTGTGAAATAAAAAATGGGATTGGAGTTGTAAAAGGTTGTATTACTATTTAACTAAAAATACTAATTAACAAAATTGAAGGAAAAAAATCGAAGGGAACAAATTTCATTAATCATCACTTTCATTTTAATTCTACTATAGAATTGTGAAAGGAAAAAATAGCATAGTGAGATATAAGATTTGAAAGTCAAGAAGATTACCTGTATGCTTACAAAGGACTGACTGCATTCTGAGATATTTGACAATTTTACAATAAATATCAGTTACCATTCTAATATAATATGTGATGAGTTTCACTATTTTTTATTGGAAAAAGTAGAATATAGCCACTTTTTCACTGGACATTTGATTGCGAGTGGTATCATGTTTTTATCCAAAACTTTGCCACACTTATCAAGTACTTACGTAAGCAAACATACATTATTTACACAAATGTTTCGAAATACTTACTTGAACCATCGTGCAGTCATCTTCAATTTGCAATTTTCTCATAAAAGGAAATCTTCATTTTAGGTATCTATGAATTCAGTTATGACTGTTGATAATATTCTTGTTGATTATATTTGTAATTTGATTACTATTGTAGGCGCAGTTACGTGAAAATTTATTTTGTATGATGAAAGTGCGGAGAATCGTATTCTTAAAAAATCTACTAAAATTCTAGTCTCAGAAATTCATCAGATCATTTAATTAACTAGTCTTACTAAAATTCACATAATTATACAGTCTTATTAATTTTCCATACTAAACTCTTACCAAACACTTCTACTCTTATTTTTCACACTACATTATACAAGCTACAACTTTCTCACAATAAACTATAAAAAACCGAGAGGTGATAATAATTGGTAGGAAATGACATATGCAAACATATTGGACTGAATTACACTGTTTTCGCATTCTTTGTTTCTTATCTAAACGTACGATCAAAATATCTACACGTCGAGACATCGCCAAAGTATAACCATATTACAAAAAATCTGATAAAATTCCACTTTCAAAAATACGTCAATTCATATAATAATCCGTTCATATTAAATGTCAAACGAATGTATAAAAAAGATTCTAAACAACCTGAGTAACAGGTACGATTATATAACAATTAAGAAATTCACATTAACGCAATTTTGTACCATTTTTTTTAAACAGGTATATTTCTCATATGAAAGATGAAAGTAATAAGCAGGATAAGAGAACAGAGAGTCAAGGAGTGGGGAGAAAACAGTGGATGTGGATGCCATCAATGAATTACTGTCAACCAGTGAATTAGAATCGGTAACACGAAGACATTTTCGATTTATATGAAAGATGAAAGTAATAAGCAGGATAAGAGAATAGAGTGCCAAGGAACGGGACGGAGGGGGGGGCGAAAACAATGGATGTGGATTCCATCAATGAATTACGTTACTGTCAATTAGTGAATTAGAATCGATAGCACGAAGCCATTTTCGATCTGAATGAAACTCGAGAGGTATAATAGATGAAAGGAATCTGTATTACGACTGGTCTATCAAGGCCCCGCGGCATCTACTCACATCGAGTGATCGGCCGCTCGTTCACTTGTTCCTCGGCGATCCAGTGGAATGCGGAAGTCGGCCCGTTCTTTCATTCGTTCGCTTCCCTCATTTATCCATGATTAGTTCAAAAAATAGGCGACGTGCTCAGAAATTTGTGACTGGCGCTGAGGCGAGGCCGAAATTCCCGAATACGACGTAACAACGAGAGAGTAAAAGAGAGAGAGGAGGAGAGTATCACTGGGTAGATCGATGGAAACGCAACATAATTCGTATTCTAATTCCCCGATCCCCACGATTCTAATCCTAAACGAAAACTGGAATCGAACGGATCGACGGAATCGCTTCGGTTTAACGTCACGAGGGATCACGTCGCGTCTGATGTCGTCGCGGCGCCGTACACGCGATCAAGCGCGTACCTGTCAGTCGCCATTTTTAAACTACCTGTAGATAATCATTCCTATCCTCTTCCTCCCCCCGCCACCTACCCTTTCTTCAAACCACCGTTCAAACTTTGCTGTTTCACAAATTTACCACGAAGATTCCTTTGTCAAAGTAAGTCAAAGTACAGGAATTTAATTACTGACCTTTTTTTAAAATTCAAATAATTGCTATTTCGACATTTTTGCTGTTAAATCCTTATAATAATTGACTCATATTAATTAACTATTGCTTCTGTAATGTTCTATTTAACTAATTATAATATCGTAATAATTATAATAATTAATATCCTCATTGAGGGCGTTTATTACAATTAATGAGATATTCTCTCTCCTATTTTCCTTAATTACTATGGGTTCTTGACATTCCCGTACAACTCGTATTTTAGGAAATTAATAAAGACAAGTACTCATGTAGACGTGAGCCATTGAGCTCTCTACTTATAACTGGAGTGCGAACTTCGGAAGCGCACCCGGGACGACAAAGAGGTTAAATGTTGAAATTTCTATTGCAGTCTTGTCATTATGTATAGTGTGTGCCATGGAATTCATGTATCCAGGTCATGAGACATGTATAAAATAGACCGTGAGCTAGCAATCCGAAAAAGTGATTGGAGAAAAACAGAGAAAGAGAATGATACGGACCCTCTCTGTGTCCTTGTGCATTCTCTGTGTATCGCGTTTGCTCCGCCTACCTTCCGGCTGTAGTATATATATACACATAAAGATAGGCGGAGCAAACAAAATTAGATAAGGACACAGAGAGGGTCCGTAGCATTCTCTTTCTCTGTTTTACTTCTACGGTTTCCACTTATAAGCTCGGCACGACTTGCTCGGTTTATTCTTATATGACTATGGGTGTAACTGTAGATGTAACAGTAATAGTGTAGTGACACCTACAGCACGCTCAACGTATTCACAGGCAACTTAGTTTCGTCAATTATCAACATTTAAATTTAAAAAATGGTAAGTAGGCAGTGTTTTAAGAATAGATAAAGCTGATAGCTTCTGTATTTAATATGTAGAATAGATTTCTCAGTATTTTTTGGTTATTAACCACGTTCGTAGTTGTAATAGAAACGTTTAGAAAATTACAAATAATATTTTGGATGTTAAGAAGAATGATATGTTTTCTTTCTTAATTGTAGAATTTCATACAGAGTTTATTGTAAGTTTGTTTATTTAAGTTTTTCAATAAGGCTATGGATTTTTAAGATCGATCGAAATAAATCGAAGTGAGGTTATACTTTTGGTGTGTTTGTTTACACAGGATTGAGAATTCTTCCTTCTGCAATTTAATATAGTACATATATAGAATAGATTAATATTGAGCAGTGCCATTTTCGATATTAATCTCGTTCATAGTTGTAATAAAAATGTTTAGAAAATATTACATATCTTTGATCTTGATAAGGACGATCTGTTCTTTTATTATTATTTATAATTTGATAAATTGATTGAATGAAATATACTGTAATTTTGTTTAATAAAATTTTTCAACATGATTATAGTTTTTTAAAAATGTTTGAAGTTCATAAAGTTGATCTGTTTTCTTTTTTTATTTATACTTTGATAGGAAATTTATTGTAAGTTCGTTTGATAAAATTTTTCAATCCTTATTGATCTTATTTACTTATTATTAAGATCGATCGAAAGAAATAGTGTTCGAATTATTTTTGAATGGTGTATTGGGTTTGTGATTTGAAGAAATCGGATGAAAGGGAACAGTGACGATCATGGTGGAACTACCGCGACTTCCCTTGGATGTTGCTATTTCTCCGAAGGCTCTCGCACGTCGCGGCGGGGTTACTATTCCTGAAGAAATCATCGCGTCGTTTCTTCAAGTAAGTGACATTTTTCTATTGCTGCGATATTATTTTCGGTTTTATCGAATTATTTTTGGGCTGTTAATTTATTGTTAACAGCGCGTGTATCTTAATCAACTTCAACGAATTTTGTTCAATATGTATTTATTTACGTGTTGTGTATTTTCGATCTAAAGTAGATTTTCATTCATCTGATATTACAATTTGATGGGATTCAACATTTTATAAACGGACGTAATGTCGATTGCAATCATTATGTGAATGTTTCCTTTCGGAAACCTTTCCTTTTTTGTTCAAAACTTATTTTGATTGCATCCTGTTATGGCTGCAACCACCATATATTCCCTAAATACTTTACCATCCATCTATCTTTATACTTTCTTCTTTTGCAAACTTGTGCTAATAATGAACGAGGCTGTATAACTGGAGAAAAATTGGATCCCAATAAAACGTGATGTTTCTCGTACGATCGATTCGCGTAGCTCGTAACTAAATATTTGTGCGGAATTCAACGTCGGGGATAATTTATGGCAGGAGGAAGTCGGTTCGTTTCGCGGCTTTTGTGCTACGCACGCTGAATGATGTTCCGCGATACGCCGCGTCTGGCCTCAAACGGAAATTCTTATTCGACACGTACGATCTATCGTTTGCATAAACATTAAGTAATCCTTGCGTTAAAATTAACTCGGCTTCTCCATGCCACCGATTGAAAATTCATAGGAGAACAACATTGTTCGCGGTATGTTTAACAAATAATCCAGTAAAAACATTTGTAGGGAACTGAAAGTTTGAGATAATAAACAACGAACAACGTTTAGCCGCAATTTGTTTAACAAATATTAATAGTTAATCAAAACAATAGCTAGAAAACCAGTTTCTAATCAGTCACTGGTCAGTACATGGCCACACTTCTTCAGAAAGTTTTCGGGCCTTATCAGACAAAACCGATCCCATCCATGCACAGCATTTATGACCAAGACCTTCAGTAATAAATAGTCATACACAACTGATTGGCATAATAGCCTCGAGTACAAAATTCCTTTTATTTAATAATAATAAATAGTCAATAATTTCTATTTTTCCCTTTAATTTCGAAATCAATAACTATTAGAAATGGAATTACAGACGATGGCCGGAACTATGCAGTGTTATATGAAACTAGAAGATCTCCGTATTTAAAACCGATGATTACTTATTCTGTACTTGAACGCCTCTGGGAAACAATGAATAATAATTATCCGTCGATTGTGAAAAAAAAGAGAGAATAATTGGTTAGGATTGGTTAGAGGAAGATGGTAATACATCGGGAGGAGAGCAGCCGAGTCTCCTTTCACGTGCGAGAGAAGGTGCGCTTCAGGTGCGTCGGGATCGATATTGCAAGCGACTCCCTGGGCCATGACATGCTCCTGTGGCAGCCTCGACTGCACGCAATCGTGTTCAAATTAAATGATACAATTCATTTCATCTTTGCTGCTCACTTCATCCTCTTCCTCTCTCTATGCTTAAAAACTTGAATTCTCTAAAAATGTTTAATTTATGCGTGGTAAATACGTGATAACTTAATTTCGTAAAGAACGCAGGTTCTGCATGAAGCGATTAAGGATGGAGATAAGATGGAAAATAACTGTGGAAATCGTTAAAGGGACAAGA